TGAAATGATGCCTATAGTAACTGTTATGTGTTATTTATGATATGATGCCTATAGTAACTGTTATGTGTTATTTATGAAATTATACCTGTACTAACTGTTATTGGCTGTTTATGAGATGATGCTGTTATTTATGAAATGATGTGCCTATAGTAACTGTTATGTCATTTCATAAATAGCCCATAAGGAGAGACAAATATAACTTTTGTCTGAGTAGGAGTCATCTTCATATAATAATGCATAGTAACTGTTATGTGTTATTTATGAAATGATGCCTGTACTAACTGTTATGTGTTATTTATGAAATGATGCCTGTACTAACTTTTATGGGCTATTTATGAAATGATGCCTATAGTAACTGTTATGGGCTATTTATGAAATGATGCCTATAGTAACTATGGTCTCACCATTAAGTACGATAAACATATGATGCATCAACACTATCAATTCCCCTTAACAACCTTCACCTCAATCACATCCCCCCTAACTCTTCTTTTTTCCATAGAAATTTTCAGAGATATTATCCTATCCTCATGTGACAACCCTTCCATCCCAGGTTTCATCCTATTAGCACCCTCTTCTGAACCCTTTCCAACAATTCAATGTCCTTCCTAATGTAAGGAATTCAAGACTGAATGCAATACTCCAAATGTGATCCATACACATTTATCCATTCTTATCATGTACAATATATATATATACTTAAAATACCTTTTAACAGTCCAGTTGAGGCATGATACTGAGGTTCTACCACTGACAAAGACTGAACCAGATGGCTAGTGTTTGAAGTGGCCTTCTGACTGTCTTCTTCTATGGATCTATCTTCTATTTTTTTTGTAATGCCTGTCATTCCTCTTAAGACAGGCATTGCTTTTGGAGGTTTGTTGATTGGCTCTTCTTTCAGGATTTTCTGACCAAAAAAGCATAAGTCCACAATTCTCTCCTCCTATTGGGTTCTTCAACTGTTCAAAATAGAGATTTATAGGTAGAAATGTATAACAGAACAGTACCTACAACTCTAAATAATATCTCAAAAGTTACAAAAAAAATCAACCAATTAGTGTTTAATCATTAGAAGTGCACACCACACCAGCTAGATAGTTGGGTGCATAATTTATCTAAAACTTTATCATTTCTCCTCTAAATTAGGTTTAACAAAAAACTGATAGTACTCGATAGTTCCTAGAGATACTAGAACTAAAATCAATCAGGATGGAGGGGATTCCACCCTTGAACTTTTTCATGTACCTTGAGTTGAGCTATTCAACCTCCTACAAAGCCTGTTGGGTTACTCTACCTCTTTTGAAACTTGTTGAGATACAGGACCTCTTACAAAGCTTATTGAGTTACAGGACCTCTTACAAAGCTTTTTGGGTTACAGGACCTCTTATAAAGTTTGTTGGGTTACAGGACCTCTTATAAAGCTTGTTGGGTTACAGGACCTCTTATAAAGCTTGTTGGGTTACAAGACCTCCTACAAAGCTTGTTGGGTTACATGACCTCTTACAAAGTTTGTTGAGTTACAGGTCCTCTTACAAAGTTTGTTGAGTTACCCAACCTCTTACAAAGCTTATTGAGTTTCCCAACCTCTTACCAAATTTGTCGATGTTAATCAACTTCTTACAAAGCTTGTTGGGTTACCCAAGTTCTTACAAAGCTTGTTTGGTTACATGACCCGTTATAAAATGTATTGGGTTATTTGACCTCTTACAAAGCTTGTTGGTTTACATGACCTCTTACAAAGCTTGTTGGGTTACATGACCCCTTATAAAACTTATTGGGTTATTTGACCTATTACAAAGCTTGTTGGTTTACATGACCCCTTATAAAACATATTGGGTTATTTGACCTATTACAGAGCTTGTTCAGTTACATGACCACCTCTTACAGAGCTTGTTGAGTTACATGACCACCTCTTATAGAGCTTGTTGAGTTACATGACCACCTCTTACAGAGCTTGTTGAGTTACATGACCACCTCTTACAGAGCTTGTTGAGTTACACGACCTCTTACAGAGCTTGTTGAGTTACATGACCACCTCTTATAGAGCTTGTTGAGTTACATGACCACCTCTTACAGAGCTTGTTGAGTTACATGACCACCTCTTACAGTACAGTTCTACTCAGAAATTTCATGCCACTAGGAAATTCAGCTAATACCTTCCTTGTAGGGATGGCCAAGAAAGAAAACTGATTAATCCATTCAATTGCTGGTTTTTAACTTTGCAAATAACTTACATTGATTGATTAATTATAAATATTTATAGTTTTATGTCATTTGGTGCACTACTGTTGACTCCCGTAAAAATTCCAACATATGGGAAAGCATGCAGAGATCAGAATGATACCCGATTTAACAAAATTAAGTAACAAGGAGATTTAAAACTTTAGATCTGTTTTCTCTAGAGTAAAACAAAATTAGAGGTGATAGATAACTGTTAGGATTTGGCCAATTTCCATATGGATAGTTCATTTTTGAGTGATTTTAATATTATGATATTGGAATTAAAAATTTCTGAGGATTAATAGGTCCTATGCACAAACTTTTTTTTGCAAAATTATTTTTCAATTCCAGCTACATACACGATGAATGGTTAGGTTAAGCATGTGAAAAATTAGTTTGAAATATTCTTAAGCTTCTGCCGGATAGATATATGGACGTGTTCCAATGATTTGCTAGTTTTTCAGGTTTGTGAAAATTGATTTTTATGGGTCAAACAGCCTTTGTCACCTTGTTTTTTCTTGCTTACTTGGGTAAATTTTACCTATACCTGAATAACCCCAATGGATAATAAGTCTTTTATAATGACGTTTTGTTTTTCTATTATGTCTTTTTTTTAAATAATAATTTAATTAAACCTCAGATAGTTGAAAAATCTTTTTTTTTCTTCCCCGATCATAAAAATGGTAATAACTTACTAAAGCCATACCATAAACATATATATTTTTTTTTAAAAGCCAGTAAAAATAGAATATACTTACTGAAAAAGAAAGACTAACCAAAATGAAATACCTCGAGAAATGGAAGTACAGAATCTGCTTCCCCCTGGCTGCACAAAGCCAACAATAAACAGTGTTATCCACAATATGAAGATGTTAGTTTGTTTGCAATCATGCACAAAACTACACAATGGGCTATCTGTGCTTTGCCCACCATGAGTATCAAAACCTCGTTTCTAGTGGTATAAATCTACCACTTTGCCACTGGGAGGCAGTACGAAGAGTTATTATTTAATACCATTACATTGCAAGCCATAAACTTTTTTAAACTAACACCTGATCTAGTATATAGATACACGAGCTTTATAATAACATGCACACAGCGTAAAGTAAAATTTTTTATTTAAAATACCCCAATGCTAAAAAAATATTAACATTTAAACACACCTTCCCTCTCCACAACCAACAAAAAGTTCCATATTAGTTATCAAACAATATATGTTCTTCAAAGAGAAACTGGATAATGGTTCAGTTAGCTTTCAAAATTAACTAATTTAGCCTTTGTAAGTATTTTTGTTACTTTCACTCATGCTTATACTGTTAGTGTTATGTGTAAACATACCAATAGGAGCTGTGTTCTGCCCAAGTTATTATAATATGCTAATAATTTAACGTTATATAATCAAATATTCAACAGCTTCCACCATGTTCTGTAGAAATATAAGTCAATGGGACAGTTGGTGCAATATTCTGAGTATATTAAGAAGTGGTGTAATAATTTCTCTAACTTTTCTCCAACCTAAGCTTGTAAGGCAGTAATTTGCCTCCATCTTGAAAAAGTATATCATATTCTCTCTCCTATACAGTCAGCAAAATGTTCTGCAGCAAATTTCAAAAGATTGGCTGCATATTAAGGTTTAGCAAGTGACTTTTTTATTTAATATGTCACAGAATCCTACCAAGAGATCAGTGGTGCCCTTACATTTATTTCTCTTGTCCACAATTCTTAAGTCTGTCAGCCTCGGGCTCCCTTGCAATTGCGGGGGCATACATACACCACTGCAAGAAATATTAATGTTAAGTTAGGCATAACCTTGAATATTTTTTAACAAGACAGTTTCCCTTCTGGTTCATTTACCTATTCCTCGTCAGCCTTGAACACTCCCTTTAAAGAAAAGTACCCATCCATGTACCTATATCATATATGACTACAGGCCCTTAAAATTCGAGTACCTAACAAATAATATTCACACCTCTTGGCATAATCAGATTAATACTCTCATACTTTTAGATATATATCAATGTTTAAGAAAGTATAATCTTTTGAGACTACAACTTGTGTAAGAATTAAAATTAAAACTTCATTTTGTTGCTAATCTTTTAAACTAGCAGTACTCAGTACTACTTAATATCGTAGCTAATGTTCGGATGTTAGCACTTTCAAAACGGTACATTGTTACAAAAATATAGCCCCAAACAGTCTAAAAATACTAAGTGTATAGCTGAAATATTATTATTATTAATAGTAATACTTACACTTATAGTGTTACACCATACACTGATAATGACATAGTCACCGAGTCAGTCAGTTCACAAAAAACCTTAACACTAACAGTAAACCATGAAATCAACAATGTTAATTTATTTTCTACACTTTAATTTCACAGAAAAACAAAGAGTATGCAAAATAAATAATGCCTCCGACAAAAACTAATGATGATCACAAAAGGAAAGTGATGAACGTACCATTATCACACTTCCCAATTGTTTTCACCTTACAAAATAACAAATAACCTAGCGTTTCTGACCTACTTAACGGCTGGCAAAGAAAAAAAAGTTACTTCGCTGGTAGCAGCATCACCACCACATAATTCGACATCTCAACTTTTTTTTTTTCTTTTTAGCCTGACAGTCCTATCAGAAGGGATGAAGAGAAAATTAATACACACACACCTGAACATCTCGAAAAAACAAGCTGAATAATAATAACATCCCCTCTGAGAAAGAAGGCCAAAACAAAGTATCCTCACTTGGAACAGCGGTACGAGTACAGACTTAGTGTAGCCCTTTCTATAGCTTTGCACTAAGAAAAAGCAACGTCAACAAATTCAAGTACATTATTGTCATGATAGCCTGTATTACATTATATTTATAAAATACCGTTTATTCCGCATCTTTTAAGTTTATCACTTAATATCGTAATTTGACATTTTACGTTTAGTTATTGGTTTATTTAAGCAGCAACGGAGCCTCTAACGAACAAAAATGGGGAATCTATTTCACAGAAAAACTCGGTTAAAGCAAAAGTAAGAACGATTTTTACATATCACAATAAGTCAAGAAAAATGTGTCATTACACCAAAGTCGTCATTCTCAGAAAGCCTGGGCCTCCTCATAGCCATTTTGAGGGAGCCAGCATCCACTTCGGCATCTCATAAACTTCGATAGGTTTACGATTCCCCAAATTCAGTAGTGTTTTTGTTTTAAACGAATGACTTACTATAACAGATGGTGATTCTAAAATAAATTGATTACAAAAAAATAAAAAAACATAACACACAGAGATTAAAATACAAATAGAAGGTATTGTAAATTGATCATTAAGCTCCTTACTTTAACGTTAATTTCGTTTGTGTTTTGTTCCTCTAAACTCCATAATATGTAGGCTACCCGCTGCATCAAAACACTTCCAAGTTATCACTGTAGTTGGAAAAGTGTTCCAGAGATGAATTCTCCTGAACACAATTTTCATTTTCAGGCAAATTTCTAGGAAGTTCAATTCATTTGTAACTTTATTTTCTCTCCCCTGCGACATGGCATGACAAGGTAGTAAAGGCACTTGATTCATAATGTGCGAGTCGTGGGATTCAAACCAGTCGCCGAACATTATTGCCCTCTCAGTCATTGGAGCATTATAAATGACAGTTAATCCAACTATTTATTAGAAAACGACAATTCCAATAGTTGGTGGTGTTAACAAGGTGCCTTTCTTCTAGTTTATCACTTCAAAATCATGGACCGTCAGTGCATGCAGCCCTCAAGTAGCTTTGCGCGATTCAACAACTATCTCACACATATTGCTTTCGACGCATATGTTTTCGTCTAGTCATTTCTACTAAGGCTGTTCTTGATAACTAACAAAAGTATTAGCTACAGGGTTGGTCCTAGTAGGGACCTCATAGCCTCTTTATCAATCATGTCATATTGTTTGCAATTAAATATAATATGGTCGTTATCTATGGCCCTAGAGGGTACGCTGTGGCCGCTCCAGCAATTTTGTGATATATTGTTCCAGTACACATGAAATGTTTTTTTTCTTTTTTTCAACCAAGATTGTAGATGGTGGATTGTTCGCGGTGGCTAAGAAAAGTGTTGAGATAGAGCTTCTCTCTATCTTGCTGACGAGCAAGATATGTGCAGCTAGCTTGGAAATGCACCTACAGCCCACAATCAAAGCAGATGTTCTGGTCCTCCTTTCCAAAGTGATACGTGAGCAGAAACATTGACTGTGGCACAAGCATCATAGGAGGGCATGGACAACCCTGCATGTTCATCAGAATCCAGCCTATTTGTGCCACAGTACTGAGATGACTTGAATGCAGCGTGGCTTATGTCAAGGGTTGAACTCAATAAGAAGTACTGGCTTGAGCATGGTGGCATTTGTTTAGAAGGGGAGTTTAGCCTTCTCTTGTGACTTTTCGAGTGATCGTTTCATTGCCATGAGCACTCTCATATCCCTCTCCCAGGTGATGTCTCTTGGTCTTACATGGGAGCCTCTCAATGTGCATGTCAATAAGGACACCCTCACAATCTACAAATACCATTATACGGTAAGCTTTATCATGAAAGTAGCACAAGCCATTTGTGAAAACACCCAAGTTTTCAGACCCTTTTTTGAATCTTGAACTCGGCTCAGGTAGGCAGGTAAAAATGTTGGCGCAGCTCAGCTATGAATGGGTCTCAGTCTAAAAAAAAAATGACTGAATGTGTGCAATTATATCACATTGGAACTGAGTGCACTTTCGGGTTAGATTGGAAAATAATGATGTTTGAAAGACTATACTTCTTTTATTCGGTTGTGAAGGAAACTCGAATTATCCGATTGGCCATGCTATTGCATCCTGTAGAGTCTGTGGGTTAAACCAGAGCAGTTTGTGCCCCTTCTGTTTACGTACTTTAAAGTTTTTGTTAATCTGGAATAAACGTTATAATAGACTTGATGTTAGTTACATAAACAGCTGTAGTAAGTTTTGCTTCTGTTGTTGTTAACTATGGATAAACACATTGGTCATAGAGCTGGGCGGTTAACTCGATTACCTACCTATGAACATTTATTTGTTTAGTGTAAAGTAATCGATAAATCAAAATTATGATTATATCACAAAAATAATCAACTAATCGAAATTAGTATTTCCTACTATAACTATCCAAATTTTGGTTGCTGTTAAGTGCAAAGCTACACAATAACTATCTGTGCTCTGCTCAACACGGGTATCGAAACCCGAATTTTAGCGTCGTAAGCTTATAAACTTAATTATTCAAGCAATGAAAATATTTTCATTATTATTTGAGATTTTTACTGTATTCAGATAATCCAAGTATCCGAGTAATCAAAATATTAGTTATTATTTCCATTGGCGCGAACGCAGTGGATGACCTCGTGGCTATCTGGTTGTTAAGTGTGACGTATCGGTCATACGATTTCCTGCTTCCGGGTCCAAACATACGGAAACCGCCATTTGTAATTATGCCTCAGTGTTGTGTGCCAATGTGTACAAATCGATCGGAATTAAACCCTGAACTATCTTTCTACAGATTTCCAGCTGACGATAAAGAGAAGAAGCACTGGCTGCAAGCAATCAGGTATAAATTATGCTTTACTTTTAGATAACCAACTAAAAATAAACTGAGAACGTCTTTGTAACAGTATCACTAACACTAACAATGTCTCTCCACACTACGTACAAAACTACAGTACAGTCCACCTATGTGACACAGTCTAGACAGTGTTCGCGGAAGGTATTCAATTGGAAAGAAAATAATAATTCATTTCATATTTCGTGTACGTACAAATGGTCATATCAAACGTAGTTTGTTGATATTATACGCATCAATTGTGAATTATATCGTGTCGACAAATGACTGCAATGGCAATTCGAAAAAACAACTAGCGTGCTATACTGTAGCGTAGGTGGAGGGACTAGATTAGATATGATAAACAATACCAAGATAGGACCCGATACTGGTACTGTTTACAGTGAGACAGTTTATAATATAGTGTTAGGCCTATACTTAGTTGGGCATTATCGTCTGACACTAGTGTTAGTAACTTACTGTTACTAGTAACAGTAGTAATATCAAATGATTAATGAATGCGTGTAAGCTTCATTTGTTTAAATACAATGCTAACTAAAACTTTTAAATATAAATCTATCCGTTTTACAAATCCAACTGACATCAGGTCTGGTGCTTCTAGTAATCATTGTAATTTGTATAGTTAAAGTTGTACACATGGAGGACGCTGTGCATGTGTAAAAGTAAATAATGGTAACAGAGAATTTTCCAACTATCTTAGCTTTTTTTTTATATATAGACGCAAAGATTTCACACCAACTTGTAACAGCAGAGTTTGTAGTTGGCACTTTCCCGATGGAAAATCTGCAGGACCCAGTAAATTCAAATGGAATGAGAAAAACTCTTTCATCTACACAGTTCCAGAGAAAAGGTAAATTTATCTGAGAAGTCTCTTTAAAAGTCACTTAACATATTTATGTAGGTATAGGTTCATTATTTCCAGTGTTAAGATTATCAATGTTATGGATCATCATACATAAAATTGAAAAGAAATTACTCATATTTGTGTAATTACTCAGTAACTCATATGTGTAAAATGTGGAAGTGTAGACACACAATATTAGCTAACACTAAACATCCAGCAACTGATGAGCAAGCAGATATTGCACAGTAAACAATTAAAAATATGAACTTAAGTCTGATTGTATATATTTTTCTTCTTTTCAAAGGAAAAAGAGGAAACTGAAAAAATTAGCTAAGGACATCTATGGTGGACAAGGACCTCTGGACAATCCTCTTATGCTTTTAGCCAGTGTTGCTGCTTCAGTTCAAGAGGACACCAGAAGTTCTCCAACTAGCTCAGTGTCATTTGAAATATAAAGTGATTTTCTTGAGGCCTAAAATCCAAAAAGGAACTGGAATTGCAGAAACAAAAACCTTTTCATTTTGACAGATGGAACATGACCAAGTGTACTATAACATCAGTTTACCAGATTCAACAAGTGTAAGATTACTATCTGATCTACTCCAGAGGTTACTTTACAATAGCATAGTTCCTGTGAAGCTGTGAGCTTTGATGAAACTGAAACTCAGTCTAGGACATGTTGATTTAGCCACAAGATTCAACTGTAGTACAACTACTGTGACAAATGTATTCATTACCATTATTAGTGCCCTGTATCAATTACTGTATATTGGTATGATGAGTAAAATTGCATGTTTTCCTCCTTCTCCAAATTATTGGACTGTACAGAAGTTACAGTAGATCACACTGAGGAACTTGATTCAAAGTCTAGTTAGCAACTATAGAGGAAGAACAACCCTAAAAGCCTTGAGTGGCACCTAATAGGGTCATCACTTGTGCCAGTGAACTTTACAGTGGTAGTCTCTCTGACAAAGCAATCACCTTCGAGTGTGGTATCTTAGATCAATTAGAAGTAGAAGATATGATATTGGCAGACAAAGGATTTACAATTTGGAACTTGTTACAAGAGGTTATTAACTAAATATTACATCTTTTCTTGTGAATGGTCAGTTCACCAAAGAACAACCCTGAACAATAAACTAATTTCATCAGCAAGGATATACGTTGAAAGATCCATACAGAGGTTGAGAAGTTTCAGAATTATTAACCTTATACCTTACCAGTATAAAAAGAATGGTAATACAATATTAAAAATTCGTGTGTGCTTAGCAAACTTGCACACACCCCTACTATATGTGACATTGAAAAAAAAACAACACATTTTGATAATACGATAAATATGAGGGAATGTAAACGTATTTTTTAACTTCATCCATACCTTCAGTATTATGATACTATTCTTAAATTTCTTGTTAATTTCTAATATATTATAATATTAATTTTAGGTATCTAAAAGTATGTTTGAAAACCACTAAACTGTATTTCATTTTTTATTTATTTTTTTTTAGACTGCTAGAGACATCTACAAAGCTGCATGATTATATTTAAGTAGTAAGACTGTTCTATATATTATGAGTAAAACTAAACTATATAAGCAATATCAATTTCACATTTTCAGTTATACCAAATGTAAAGAACTTGTGTATTTTGCTTTTTATTACACTTACAATTAAGATATTATGCCTAAATATAAGTGAAGAAAACAAAGATTAACTGGTGATATAAAAAAATAGGGGGAGAATTATTTTAATAACTTAGAAATAAAGAAACTTGTTAATTTCTTTAAACAGAGTAATATTTATAAAATACCAAAATTTCTTCAAGTTCATCAAACATATCAACTACAGTAAGTAAATTATTAATCAAGAAAACAGAAAGGTATATTGATATTTGATTGGTTGAAGTTAACAATGGTTTATAGTTCCCTGAAAGTGGGTAAGATAGTTTTTGTTACTTCTTTACAACTTACCTTTAAAGTGATCAAACAATATCACGATTACCTTTTTTTAGAAATTATAAAGCAATATCAAACATTAATATAGGTATTCCACTACTTTTTGATGTTTCTTTGATTTCCAGTTAATTCATTGTATTATTTATACCTGATGGTGTCTGGTGAAGTGTTACACCAAACACATAATATTGTTTCTCCAAAATAATTTTTATAAGGACCCTGTTTTCTATATTTTATCAAAAATATGTGTAGAATAAAAACAGTATTCTTTGATAGCTTGTTTAGGCAGAGTATTCATGATGAAACCTTGTAGAATAGACAACAACTGCCTGTTGTAGCGACACGAGTAAATAGGACGACATTTTGAAAGTCTTCCACCTTTTGCCTTCCATCCATTCTCACTACCTCATTTTAAAATTTCATGGCTCACATTTCTGATTTTTGCTGACAGAATTTCAACATTTAAAAGACACTCAATTATCATATTTTTCTAATGTGGTATCAAATATTGGAGTTAATAGTATTTGTTTTATTACCAATGCTATTTTTTTTTGTTATCAGTATTAATTACTACAAACATTCCCTGATGTAATTCAAAGGTCGATTTAAGTCGCACTAAGTATTAACTGTCGTTACACTGTTTGAACACACTTGGAAAAAAAAATATTTTTGTGAAAATCTTCTATAAATGGTATGTTAGAAGCCAACAAAGGATGTCTTTGAATGTACAGAAGTAACTGCTCTGTTGGTGTTCACGCAAAGATGTCACATTTGATAACTTCTGTAATATGACGGGCACCAGTCACTTCATCTACATATAAGAAGTATTTTTTCAAGGTTGCCACTTGAACTAGAGGTGTGGTCCTTTCATTCTATAGACACTTCATCTCCAGTAAGTGGTCCCTGGTAACTTGGCCATCTAGTGAGACACCCAACTGTCCACTTTTCATGATAAATATACCAATGGGTCTCACTGCATTACCAGTATATTTTGCTAATGCTGTTTCTTCATGAATCATTCCTCACTAGATAGCCTAGATTAAAAATATAATTGCACTGTCCTGATCATCTTGTCACCAGGAGATGAAATTTATAGCAATACAATAAATATTCTATTGGATTGAATATTTTTATCGACAAAAACAAGATGTGGCAACTTTGTTGTAAAAGGCTATGTCAACTGTATTATACTGTACTAATAATTGAATCTTCAATTTTGTTATTTTTACAGACCTGACACTTTTGTAATGGTGTTTCATAACATTCGGTTTCAAATATATTGCTTAACTTAAACTCTTAATGCAAAACCCCTATTCCTTATAGCCTAGTAAATATACAGCATAATATTCATTAATTTGCTATGTACTTGTAAATCCGAACTGTCCGTCAGCTTTATTTACAAACTTCATTTAAGTACAATAACTTCATCCCTTTTTACTACTACCATATTTAATACAATAAAATTACTGTAGCTCTTTCTGTAGATTCATATCCAACATTTTCTAAAGGAATGATGAAATGGAACCTCCTCTTATGACTCCAAGAACTGATCCAATATTACACGACGTGAGGTGATTTTGCTTATAAGCAAATCTCGGTGGGAGAGAGAATTGTATTCAGTCACCTAACTGATATTTTATAATTTCTTTATTTTTAATTATACCAATATTTATAATGAGACAGTTAATTCTGTATTTCATTCTATAACCTGTACAAAATAAAATCATTTTGTACATAAATAACTACAATGTAACATAAACATAAAGTTTTGTTGATAATAAATGAAACGACTGTTCACCAGAAAGGATTACTGCATTGTCCAATGGTTGCCCTTTCAATGATGATTCTCTCAGTCTAGATACAACTATAAGACTCGCTCGTACTCACCATTTTTTATATATTTTTCCTACGTAGTATAAAGAAAGACTAATAATGTAGATTTTAATTTGAAAAAGAATGATTTATAGACATCTTTTTATTCGACATAATAAACACTTTTTACAGCAGATTTTTTTCTGAAAAAGTTACATTCATGTAATATATATATATATATATATAATTTTAATGTTATGTAAATATCTACTTCTTACCATTATATTTATTTCACAAAATATTGTTTGATTCATAAACATTTTTTTTTAAATCTTTCAGTAAAAGCACTTATTACCAGCTGTGGCTCTGGAGAAAGAATCCACTCCAAGCCTGAAAATCTTCCGAGTGAGGATAACCTTAGTTGCATCCAGAAGATGTCCTCTCCTTGAACAAGCCTTGTTATTGCAGCTAAAATATGCAAATTACAATATGAAATGTGGGTTTTCATGAACTTGGAAATAAGATAATAAATTGTGTAAAAAAACTAAAGTTCTACCTATCAAACAGATCCACAGTAAAGTGGTAATACAGAAATATCAAAACTCATTCATACACAATTACTTAGATGGATGTCATATAAAAAATGTGTGAATATGAATAAATATACAAATTAATAACTTTACCAAGGAAAGTTTTACACCATATTAAGATGATCTCAATAAATGTTATCAATTTTTACCATTGCTCCTACCACGAGGTACTTCTAATAGTCGTTTTGGAAGAGTTTCCTCATACTTTCTTCTCTTGGGATGGCTCTGCTGACATTCAACATCTGTTTGTGTGACATTTTTCTCGACCCAAATCAGTAATGTGGCAATTTAACAATCTGGTTCTCATCTTGAACCCGTAAGAAACATAAATGGAAGAGGTTAAAGTAAGTGGATGCAAGATATCATGATGTTACTACACTATGATCACTTCCGTTTTTATACATTACCTTGACATACGACCAGTGAAAAATGTGGATGCAAGATATCATGATGTTACTACACTATGATCACTTCCGTTTTTATACATTACCTTGACATACGACCAGTGAAAAACGACCATCAATATGAATTTACAATGCACTATTCTAGGTATACACACATACATACAAAGTCCTCTGTCTTTGTTATAAACACTGAATATTTGACAACTGTCCACTACTAGATATCACAATTAAAGTTTAAATAACGTACAACTAGACTTTCTTGAGACTTATTGAGCACTAGGAGTAAGCACTGTTCATATTCACTTTCCTTATATTAAGTCTAATAAAATTTATTTTTATTTCTCTTATGTTGGACATCCAAACTAAAAATGTACACACTAGATTAGCATCTCGGCTCTACTGTGTATAAACTATAATAAAGTTATTTTTTGTCAATTCATCATTACAAAAATTCAAAAACTATGCAAAATACAATATATTTCAATATTTGTAGTAATGTGGTGAGAAACTGCTTTAAATTCCAAAGGCAAATCACAAAATTTAACATTATATTTATATGCAGTAGGGCTGAGATGCTGATCTCAAAACTACTAGTAGTACAGTTAACATTAGGTAGTGTATACAAGATAAAATGTATATTGTTACTAATATTAATACAGGCTTTGGCTCATTCAGCTTGCAGGAGCCTACTTCAACATTTTCTTTACTAAACTTTTCTTAGGGCTCCTAACACAGTGACATTAATTAGTACACTGAAACATAGCTCTTCTTCATGGAGACTTGTATCGTCCTTGTAATGAAACCTCCTGGCTGAAGTTGTACACTCTGTACTCTTTCGAGACTCATAAGCAAGTGCTTTCTTGACACATTCAGAATAATCACTAAAATAATGACAAACGTTACAGGTTCCAGACTAACACTGCAGCACAGGCCTTGTGTTTGGACCTGGAAGCTTGGTAGTCGTGTGATGAGTGATGCAGGCACTCAAAAAGTGGATTGGTTACATATCAAACCATGTGATGTCTGTTGTTTGCGTTTACCCTGTATGTCTAAATAATAGCACAGCTTTAACTTAGTATATTGCTTACTTATTATCAGCAACAAATGTAACCAGTCTTAGTTAGGGTAATATTGCTTTAATAAAAAAGTTGAGGGAAGTTAATGTTAATTATTTTTTTACTGTTGAATAACTTGTTCATTTAACCATGCGTGTAAGAAATTACTAATAACAGCCTAACAGTATGTGATTACCATTAGGTTGTTAATGTATTCACATGAATAGGGCTTACATTTAATTCTGAATAGCTCTAGTACAGTAAGCTATTAGTTGTTTGGTTTATTGATTTATCAACACTTGCATTTCTAGTTTCTTTCATTCTGTATAGATGGCTCTTAATTATAATAAATGCAAGCTTATATATGTAGGTTATCATAATTTAAATCAGTAAGTATAATTTTGATGGAAATAACCTTAACAAAGTTATGAAGGAAAAGTATTTTGAGGTTTTTGTTGACCAGTCTCAAGCCATCCAAGCAGTACACTGTTGCTAGGATTTTAAGTTGTATTTACAGAAATATTGGATTTAAGTCTACAGAGGTTATAATTTCATTATTAGGATGATACCTGGGATGGAAAGTGTGTCATAAAAGGTTAAGATCTCTGAAATTATATCTTGAAATACGGAGTTATAAGCACAATCTGATTGAGGTGTTTAAGCGAATTGAGAGCACTGATGCATAATCTTTTTATATACTTATCGGTGAGAATGGTAGGACTAGGGGGCACAAATGTAAAGATAGCTTTATTTTCCTAACAGGGTAGTTGGCCTTCAGATGTTGTGGATGCAGTAAATTTAAGGGAAGACTTGGTAAGTATTTGATTTACAAGTTTTTTAACCCACTCACTGCAGCTGGGACGTATATTTTCCAGTGAACTGAAAAATATACGTCCCAGCCACAGTGAAAGGGTTAAAGTTCAGTTTGGTGGATGGCCTAACAGGCCCCTTGTTGTCATGTAATAATTTTAATGCATTTTTTCTAAACTTCCATCCATATTAAGAACTTCTTGCTTAAAATCTTGTGTTTTTATATTTAATTTTCACATTTTTTATAGAGATGATGAAAGATTTTTTCAATATTACTGTGAATTTAACACTTCTTATTATACTTTGATTTCCAACTTATGAGTTATTTTAATTTCTACAAAAAATATCATCTAGTATCATCACAAGTTTTCTTGCCAAGTAGTAAATGTTCTACTATCTTTGTTTTTTGAGGAACAGCATGGATTTATTTTCACCTCATTGTATAATATCTATCACACATACCGTGACAAATAGCATTACAGTTTTATCACATGAAACTTAGGACAATTTTTTAAAACAAAAAATTAGCTTATTTTGTTTGATTTGAATAGTTTTGTGAAAATTTGAAAGAACAAACCCAAAAAACAGTATTAATTCTATTTTCAGTTTTTTACATGTTTTATATGGCTACATTTTCACATACAATAGTTTAGAATTATAAAAGTTAATTTTAAATTGTTGTACCTGAAGATGTCTAACATATTAAACAAAGGGTAGTACCTGAAGATGTCTAACATATTAAACAAAGGGTAGTACCTGAAGATTTCTAACATATTAAACAAAGGGTAGTACCTGAAGATGTCTAATATATTAAACAAAGGGTAGTACCTGAAGATGTCTAATATATTAAACAAAAGGTAGTTCGAAAACCCTGAAACGAGCTGAAAATGGAAAGAATATTCTTATGTAGAATAATCTATAATGTTCCCGACGATCAAGCGATTAGTAAATCCAGCTAATCAACCAGGTTTAATGGTGCTCATAGGATAATGATTTTGTTTAGAAGGCTTCAAAGGAGATATAAATCTCACAGCTTACACTCGCAACAACTCGGCAGTGACAGTAAAGTTCATATTAATTACATCCTTCATGAACAGAGAAATACACCAACATTAACAACACCTTAGAGCTTAAGTTGATTAAAGATACTTTTATTATAAGTTACCTTTGTTACTGTGAAATTAAAAGAGCAGTTATAAGATGAACTACCAAGATAAACTTTACACTCATCTTCTTCTTCTTCTTTGAACAGACACTAAAATCAGAAACTTAATTTGATTCCTTAGATGTAAACAATCTTTAAAAGATTTTTTGTGTTAACAAGATACAAATATGAAACCTTACTGTTTTCCTACGTGACAAATACACACGGCAACAAAGAAAATCTGCCCCCTTTTTTATTATGTCGCCTATCTCCATCAGCAGACTGATTCAGATGAACACAATACAGTTATACAATGTAATGTGTTCAGTTGAAAATTTAAAACAGCTTGGGGCCCATTGATGGCATTTCCAGGCTTCTCTTTCTTATCAGCCAACTACCATTTGTTGACAGTAAACACATGAAAGTTGAACATTGTTTCTGTATACTGAAAAATACATTTAACTGTTATAAAACTTATCTTTGTTAATAAAACATAAAAACAGCAATTATAAATCACTTCTTCGGGCATTTTTGATTACTTCTATATATCCTCGGCTATTTACTGTTACACTACTTTACAGTGTCAAAAGCTTTAGCAATGAATTATTTTACTGTTGTCGTGTTGGCTCCACTTGTTCAGTCAATGATACTTTAAAATTAAAAAAAAAACCTTGTCATTTACTTCTTTATTGTGTGTAAGCTCTGATACATCATTGCAAAGTTTCTCCATTTTAAACTACCTACTCAAAATTTCAGAATTCCTCAACTTGCAGGATCCAACACACTTAACTTTTTAGCTGTTGATGTTTCAGTCAAAGTTCTTGATTCAACAGTCCCTTTTGGACACTTATTACCCATTGAGGCATCGTTAGCAGGTTTAATTACATCCATATAATGAACAAGTTGACCAATACAATAACAGAAAAATTGGCCGACTTGAATATGTTAACTATTTTATACTTTATATCTGCATACTATAACTATGAAATTCAGTGTTAGAATATCGACCTTAATCCATCAGCATCGAAACTTGAAATATTTAAGTAAAGACAACTAGTGATCATAGAAGACAATAATAACTGGATCATAACCATTTTATTATAAT